TCCAAGAGCCTCCACAGTCCAGCCTTGGACCACAAGGTACTTAGTTTCCATAAGTCACCACAAGGAGGCACTGTAAAAGTCTTGTTGATGGAGAGGCTATGAGCTGGCAGGGGAGTTTTATGCATTGTTACTCCCTTTTATGCAAGCGAAAAGGTGTGCAAAGCTCTTAACACTATCTAAGCTACCATACCATTGTTTCACATCACCCCTCATATGAAGCACACACACACACATATATTTACACACACACACACACACACACACACACACACACACACACACACACACACACACACACACATATATATATATATATATATATATATATATATATATATATATATATATATAATATATATATATATATATATACATACATATATATATATATATATATATATACAAATATACATATAGATATATATACATATGTATATATGTATGAGTGTATATATATATGTTTATTTATATATACACATATAAATATATATATATATATATATATATAATATATATATATTATATATATATATATATATATATATATATATATATATATATATATATATATATATATATATATATATATATATATATATATATATTATATATATATATATATATATATATATATATATATATATATATATATATATATATATATATATATATATATATCCCCTTGAAGCCGGTTATTATTTTTTATTGGCGCATCATCCCGCCAGGCGGTCCGCTAGGCGTGTTGGGTCTCCCCGGTGTCCTTGAGAATTTTGAGCTCGATCGGGCGAGCGGTTTCTCGGAAACTGCACATCGCTATATGTCGATAGTTGGAGTCTTATTGTAGCCATATACTATGATCTATGTAGGACTTTACTGACTTATATTGTTGAATAGACTATATTTTCTACTTGTGTGTGTCAGATTACTGTGTAAAGGAAGTTATGTGTTTTCACGGGAGAAGAGAAATTCAGATTTTTTTTTTTTTTTTTGTTTTATTTCGCTAAAAATGAATAAAAAAAATCTACAATATTTACAAGACATTTACAATATTTACAAGACATTTACAATATTCACAGGACATGTACAACATTTACAAGACATTTACGATATTTACAAGACATTCACGATATTTACATTCACGATATTTACGACATTCACGATATTTACAACACATACACACAATATTTACATCACCTTATCAAAATTGCATGCTTCAGGGAGCATGTAGAGTGCGTGGTACTCCTTGAAGCATGGTGCACACAAGGAAACTCCACAGGTGCAACATATCACCCGTGTCTCCTTCCTCTTCTTATTTCTGTTCCAACACTGGGAACATCGTCGCCATCTTCGGAGGAGAGTGTCCTCTGGCATGTGTGAGGCAGCAGGGTCAGCAGGGGCAGCAGGGGCAAAGCGAGCACGGGCGATGCGGTTCCTCCTTCCTCGGCGGTCTTCCTCCTTCAGGAGACTTCTCATAAGTTCCAACTTGAATTCTTGTTGAGCCATTTTTCCGCCAAGGAACCGGTGTACAGCCAGGGAGTTGACCACAGCCATGTCCAAAAGGTTGAAGAATATTTTTTTTTTTTGTACCATTTGATGTTTTTTCTCGTGGACTTGTAGGAGCCTGAAAGCTGGTCACTGAAGTCAACTCCCTTCATGCCGTTGTTGTAGTCAGTTACAACCTTTGGCTTTATTCGTTGGATTCCTTGGCGGTTGGGAGGAAGAGCTACCATCTCTCGCTCGTGTGCACCGTGGGAGAGCATGGTGACTGGCCTCTTGTCCAGCCACTGAAGGGCGAGCATACCCGAGTCTGTACTTCGGAAGTCTACACTTCCTCGCCCTTTTGCCTGCAGGTCTGTCGGCATCTGCTTCCTGTTGCTTCTGACCGTACCGACAGCGCTTGTTTTTCTTTTTTGTAGGTGGTGGAACAGACTAGGGACGAGTACCAGTTGTCGGTATGTACTTCGTACCCCTTGTCCATGAGGCCCACTCTCTCCAGCAGGTCTATCACCGCCTTCATGCTCGCGGGGACGTCCCCGCGATCCTTCCCCATGTAGATACGAAAGGCGGTGGTGTAGCCGGCCTCTGGCCCCAAACTCGAGCAGAGCTTGTATACCTTTATTCCCCTGCGTGCTCTCTTGTTGGGCACGAACTGCAGAGCCTGGTGGCGCCCCTTGAAGGCCCAAAGGCTCTCGTCAATGGAGACGACCTTGTTTGGCACAAAAACTTCTCTAAATTGCCTGTCGAGCACATCTACGACAGGCCTCAGCTTCCAGAGTCGATCATCTGCTTGACGCTCGGCCTGGTTGTCTGCGAAGTGTAGTGCTGCTGTCAGCTGATCAAATCTGTCGCGCGACATCGTCTGCGGGAAAATCGCCGACGACATCAGAGGGTCGCGAGACCAGAAGTCTCGCATTTGCCTCTTGGACTGCAGCCCCATCAAGAACCGCAGCCCAAGATAAGTACGAACCTCCTTCACGGTCGTGTCCTCCCATCCCGTCAT